TTCAGAAAAGAGACAAAAGATAAAGCATAAAGAGCGAAATAGGGTGAGGGAGGCGGAGAGGGAAAAGGCTACGTAGAAAATATCCTAACCGTTCTATCTTAGCCAACGAGTTATTTTCTACTTTTAACGTTTTATCACAAGAGAGTTAAATAAAATGGGTGCCGTCTTGATGTAGTAAATAAATGAAAAAGGCGAATGTAACAAGTTTTTATAAAACAAGTTATTATAAAAGCTGTTGTACGCAATTAAGAGGAACAATAATTACAACACGATCGTTTATAATTTATAGTATCGAGTTTCGATAGGAATATTCGTAAGACGATTCGAAAAAGCGCGGTCGTAAATTTGTTTCTGGTGGTTGGCGTCGTACCGAAAGCGGCAGCACCGTCAACTGTGTATACATGCAGTTGTCCACACGAAACATCTCGCCGCTAGCTTCGGAATATTTTGTGAATTTTGTGTCGTTTTTCCCTTGTGAAATTTTCATCGAAGATTACTATAAACAGTCTGTAATCCTCTCTTTGAAAAGTTTTGGTAAGATCGTTGATTTCTTTTTACTTTACGCAAGTAACACTAGTTAAAAATTTGACATGGCGTTGACACACGGATTTCGGTCGAAATTTCTATAAAAATTCACAACCATTTAAGATCGTTCGATTCAGTATTTGTTTTCAAGTATCGTTGCACGATGATATTCGTTAACGTCGAAAGTTTATCGGTTTGCAGCGGGTGCAACGAAACCGCGTTCGCTGACGTTTACACATGTATCTCTCGTGGCTACGATCCACAAGTGGTTGCGTACCGCGAATTGTGCATAAACTCGATCTTTCCAAATTTGACGATGACCAATTTATTCTCGATTCCCTAGCGATAGATGATTATTTCTGAATTCTGGCCGATACGTTTGTACATTTCGATCCTAATCTGTAGTAGATTTACGAGCGTATTATAAACGAAGACGTATTCGAGAATTTGTAAATATTTTTGGGTAGAATAAAACCAAGTTTTAACAATTTTCGGTAACGTTCATTGAAACCGCCAACTACAACCAGTTTCGAGTCAATTTAAAATATACTCTTTGCAGAAATAAATTGTATATCACGTCAATTAAGTGTGTTTTTATCGATAATATTATTTCCTAATACGATGTGTAAATAATTACGCGAAATATGTTGGTAATAAAGAAAGTTGTATACAACAATTTAATATGTTGTATTTATTAAAACACATCCACGTTGCCATTTATATTTTATTTGAATCACTTTTTTTCATTTGTTACAGTTACTTCTGTATCCCTTGTTTATTTTCATTCAACGTTCCGGTAAGTTCCTTGATTTTTCGTTCTTATTTTTACCCAATTTTTCCCTATTATTTTTCATTTGCTATTGTATATGTATGTATGCATATTTTAAAACGCAATTAATTTGTACAAAGATAGACGATGGTCGATAGGAAACACTAGTCGGTTACCTGCATTATCGGCTGCGGTTGAAATTGCAATTATTATTTGAGACGACAGGTGGCGATAGTAGTTACTCTCTAACGCATTTCACTATACCTGATTTTTAAGCAAATTTCGAGAAAAAACGTCGAACGGTACAAAACGTAAAACCGTCTATCGAATCTAATTGGTTCGAAAAGGAAGTCGAAAGCTTCGCAGGGATATCTCCAGTGTGTAAATACAACAGATATCCGTGATTTACTCTAGGCTTAGTATAGAAAGCGTAGTAGAACGACAAAATTCAAATACGGTTGAAGATCGAAAACCTGGTTAGTCTCGTCTTTGATAAGTAACAGGATATCGACTAACGACACAAGTAACGACGCGCTGTTAATCCAACCTTGTCCGGGAAGAATACTTAACATTCGCATAAAGAAACGTCGTGAAGTTACAAAGAATCGTCGAAAATAAGGAAGAGAGTAAAGAATTGGCGGATCGGCGAATCGAGCGTGCAGAAGAAAAGCACGTTAGGCGGTTGTCGAAAGCGTACGAATCGACGAGAAAAGTTAGCGTATAGCATATCGTTGGCAAGTCATATGTAATGCGTTGGAAAGTTGAATGTCGAATGTCAAGCCGTAGTCGGAGAGAGGGTTGCGAGGGAGGTAGAGTATCCGTGGGGTAGGTAGGGAGGGGGCAGGGCAAGGGGTGCAAGAGATGTCAGGAAAGTGTTTTACTAGCCTTAATTTCGTGTGCTTTCGCAGCCAATATGTCGAGCAGTAAATTCCAAAGTTTGCAGCGGGTTTCGCGTTTCCATGTTGCGCGTTTTAGCACTCGCGGTTTTAACGACCTCGTCCATCCTTCGTCCCGCATCCTCCGGCTCAAGGAACGCTCGTCGGATATTAATCCTGTAAACAAGCACGCTTCTTGCCAGGCTCGCGGAATCGCTTGCTTTTTCGAAAGCATTTTCGTTCACGCGCCACGCTCGCTCACGACAACTCTTCCCTCCCTCTCCGCCATTGAGCGCTTGAACTGCACCAAACGGACTACAGTTATCCGCCGAGCAGACCATTCCGCCATCCGCGCGATATTCTTAGATGGAACGTTTAACGCAAATTACGGTGCAACGAGAGCAAACAGAAGACGACGATTAAATATTCGAGGGGCGGCGTATAAAAATTTACGATATCCAGAGAAGTCGGCACGTGCGAGAAAGTAGAGGGAGATTATCGAATAAGGCGGAGGTTATCGAAAGAGGAAGGAGAACGAGACGGAGAGAGCGAGAAGACGGCAGAGACGGTAAGAGAGGGACGACGAATCGACCGAACCAACGTAAACGCCGAAGAACTAATAATAAAAAAAAAAAAGAAAAAAATAGTAATTTAGTTAGTAAAACATAAAGCCACGTTGGTGGCCGGAGAGAAGGAAGGCAAACACATTAAACATTTAGAGGGCATAATAACCCGTGGCATACGTAATGCGGCTGGCGCCCTTTTCACCGATGGCTATGAATAATGTACATACGCCAAGGTATGACGTAGGCTCGCCGAGCTGTGTGTATTTCACGGTGGGGTAGATCGACCAGACTATTTCCAATAACCGCCGCGTAACGTTATCGCGAGACCTGGAGAACCCTTTTGTGTCGTTCTCCGTTTCTGTCCTCCTCCCTCGTTGCCCTCGTTTCGATTCTACTTTCTTCGCGGGAGCACCGCGATCACCGAAACTTCTGCCTCTCCTCTTTCTCTCTCTTTCTCTCTCTCTCTTTCTCGTTTTATCGTCTCTGAACGTTCGACTGGAACGAGCCACATGTAGATACGAAGGAGTCTTACGTCCTGCTCTTGTTCGTCTCAACGACGGAATCGCCAGTTCAAACAAGTTGCGGCGGATTCGAAGCTACTACGGTTACGCGAACGAGGCGATTAGGTTGAAAGGAAGCGGAGAATTCAGCGAATCACGTCGGATAGGATGGAAATGACGCGATCGCCGATCGATCTCTCGCGACAAATGTGACATTTACGCTCGCAGAGGGCAGAATTTCTACGAAACGAAGAAAGACGTTTATTCTCCGCGCGACGCAACCAGTCGTGCTCGGAATACAAGCGGCGCGCGGCCAGCGCGAGCCTTGTTTTCGCCACCGGACAATACCAGCGGAATTCCTGCCACTTTAAACAAATACGCGATCGCGATTACCGATTATTGAAAGACAGGTGGACGATGTTGATGAAACAGCGCACAGGCGTTCGCCATTGGCGTCGAACAAAGTCCGCCGTCGTCGGCGGCGATCTCGTTGGACGAGTGGCAACCAGCGTTCGTATGCAGCGATCTCCGCCATCCACCCCGTTCAACTTGCCAAAAATTAGACGTTACGAAACGATGGAAACGCGTCAATCCGCGGCAATTGGCGCGTGTCCTTCGGTCGGTCGCGTTCACACGGTTGACACGAGCGTTCGAAACGCTTGAAAATCTGTCGGAAGAAGGACGTCGCGCGTTGGCGGGA